TCTATATATATATATATATATATATATAGATAGATAGATAGATAGATAGATATATATATAGATAGATAGATAGATAGATAGATAGGTAGATAGATAGATAGATAGATAGATAGATAGATAGATATAGATATATATATATATATTTTTTTTTTTCATCAGAAGAGGAAAACCTGGTACTTAATTTGTCAACCAGAGGGTTCCAGAAGCAAGGGCTCTGTTTCAGTGGATTAACACTTCTATTCTTGTCTCTCTATTTCTCGCCTCAGCCGTTAGTAGGAATGCTTGACACCACTTGGAGTACCACAGGGAAAAAGGAAACAATAAGGTCTGCTGAAGTCACTCTGTACCCAAGGTGAAAAATAAGATATGGCAAGAACTATGATATTCATTTGGTTTTTCATATCGCAGCATAATAAAAATAACTTGTTCCTTACTATGTTTTAAAATAATGTCTTCAGGTAGACAACAACATATGACATATTGCACAGTTTAATTATCCATGTAGAAAAGAACTAAGCCAAAGTAGCAGTGTGTTTCAATAATGCATGCCCTGTCTTTAGGTGACCTAAATCAACTTTTAACAGCAAATAGCCAATGAAACATTTTTTCTGTATGACCTTATTAGTTTCTCGTAATGCTGTGAAGCACTTCCATCTACTTTTGGAAATGTTATGTCAGGTGTATTATGGTTTGCACATGCTTATAGCTCTTTTAAGGTTCTATCATAGCATGAAGTCTGGACATCAAATCAATTGCTGCAAACATCTTGAGCATCTCCACTGTTATACATGTGGCTAAGATTGTTTGGTTCTACAGTGTGCTGGTATTTACTTCACAGTCACGTCAGCACTTGCAAAATTTCTAGGATAAGCATGACCATGAAATAAATGCCAAATACTGAGATAAGAGGAGACAAAATTACACTTATATTCATCTCTCCAGTAAAGATAACTATTCAGGACCTGATATTTTAAGCAAAAAACATTTTTATACCTAGAAGAAGGTACTGTGCATTGCAACACACTCAAAGTTCTGCATGATTGTGAAGTCTTTTCAATATTTTTATTCAAATAAAAAAAAAACTAATCTAATAGCCCTACATAATACCCAATGCATTCATCTATCATCAGAACTCCACACATTTAATTACTTGTTTGCAATTTATTCTTAGAATAAATACAAATGCATTTTACCAGACACATTTCTATATACTTTTTATGAATATTTTATGTTTTATCCTTACACTATAAACAGCATTATGACACACCACAAAAAGATCACCACAAACAATTCCCCCCACTTTTCCAAGGCCTTTCCAAGAACCTATAAAAGGTGTCTGGACCCATGGAAAACTATTTGTCCAAACACCCTGGAGATGACACAGAGCAGACAGGCGAGTCATTCTACCTTAGCACCTCCACATCACTTTTCCATCCAAACAGCTCTAATGTTTGTTTAACAGATTCTACACAAACATTTGCTTAAGTTTTACTAACCATTAGCCCTTCTTGGCTCTGAGTAACAATTATCCTCCCCTCAGAGGCAGCCACCTCACTCCAGTGAGGAGCAGAACAAAAGGACACATGCTAATTATTAAAATACTCAAATATTAAATAAATAGTTAGAACTTCTTGTGCTATTGGTGTGCTGATTAATTGAACTGTGGAGCATGTAACTTTAGGATAGCTATATAGAAATTGTATCCCGAAAATGAAGCAAACTTGTAACTCCATAATCCCCTTCATGGTGACAGTTTTAATTTGATAATTCCATCATGTCACATAAGAGAGCAGCATGTTTGAGCAACTGTCTTGAAATGCAGTAACACTTGTCTTGTGCTTCCATTAGCTCAAATATAAATTAACCTACCTTTCAAAGCCAGTACATCAGCATCTAGGCTTTCCCAAACTGATGAAAGGAAAAGTAATTTTAGTACGTCAACTTGTGAATTAGTCAAAGGTAACAAAATATTCTTTAAATTGTTTCACATTATTCTCTAGTTACCCTTGATCTTGGCTTAATATGGCATAATAATAGCTCTAATGTTTGAACAAAGTTCAGTGCTCAAGTATATAAAAGGAAGATATTTATACCTTGCATATAAATTTCCATATGCATTAGTTACTTTACGACATTTATGTGGCTTATCTATGGCAAAGTAACTTCATTATTTCTCTTTGTAAAGAATAGGATATTGGTTCATTCCTATTGAAATGCTTTCAGGCAGGTCTCATACTGGAAGGCTTTCGATGCGAGGGCTTATTAATGTGAACAAATTTAGCTGGAAGATTTGCATTTAATTCATATCTTCAAAAGTCAAAATTAAAATCCATAATTTAGGAGGTTTCATGCAGCTTAATTATTCTGGTATTCATGGCAGCTCGTTTTTACACTAGGGCAGATCTCACAGGCCCTGAGTTCAATTAAAGGAAGAAATTGAATTTTAAAAATTTGCTCATTGCTTCAACCTGTGCCGTTTTGAGGGAAAAAAAAAAAAGAAGAAGGAAGTTTCTATTTTTTTTTACCGTTTTTGATGGTTGAGCACAGGTACTTGAAGACATGTTTTTTATTTATCCAAGAATTACTTACAGTTAAATAATTAAAGAAGACAATGGAGGTACTTTGAAATGGATTGGGATGAGTATGTGGAGTAAAGAGTGACAGATGGGAATGAAGAAGATTGAGGTAGGATTCCACTTCAGTCTTCTTCACGTCAAACAAGTAGCACTTGACCTGAATGGGGAGAAAAATGCACATTTTAAACAACTTAAATCTAAACCTATATTAAAATATTTCTCCATTTGGTAGCCACCAGATGTCACTTAAAGCTCTGAGATTTTTATTTATTTTTTTTCTACAAATATGTACATTTGTTGGCAGAAAACAAGTTTCATGTTTGGCCAACAGATGGCAGCAGAAGGCTGAGAATAAAGAAAACACAGGAAGCACTTTGCAATGACAGGAGTGTGGATTTCACATTTGTGTCGTCAATACTGTTCATAGTTTCCGGAAATTACTATTAATGTTAGTTTTAGTATGTTTCTTTAAAGCACTTATTATGTCCTGAGAATGTTTGTGAATCAGCTTTCTTACTTGAAACGGCAAGAAAGCTGCATTGTTTATTTTGGAAATCATAAATAATGATTTTAATCTTCAAAGCAATGGATTCGTCTTGTGACTGAATATATAATTGCTCAGACAGGATGATGATGCTGCAGCACCAAAGGAAGAAAGAAAAGTTGCTCTGTAAAGTGCATCATCAACTCTGCAGTCACACTCAACAGGTTTTGTTACATAACAAATTAGATTGATTTAATTACATAAACAGGAGCATTAGCATTTAGCTTACAGCATCTCAAAGGCACTAATTTAGCTTTGTATGTGGAATTATCAATGACTAAGTTTTTGAAGCTGTAAAAAGTGCCACGTTTGATATTTTCTAATCTCATGCATTTCATGAAAGTTCTGGAGTGCTTACAGCAAAAGTGAATAATCTCAATGGAAGCTCGATCTGTATGGCCTTTGAGAACATTGAATTTTTTTTTTTTTTTTTTTTTTTGTAGTACCCTGTTAATAATGTGTGAATAGAGTTTCAAAACAGCAGGTGGTCTGAGAGCTGAGAGAGCCATAAAAATGTATTTCATTACACTGTCTTTAGATTACTGTAATTCTTTAAAGCTGTCTTAATTTTGAGTTTTGTAGACTTCTTTAAAAAAAAACAGTGCAGTGACATTATCATTGATGTAATGGTTTCTGTTTTGCTTTCAGAGTTGCTTTTACTTTTTCCATCTAGAGCTTACTGTATTAGTGTGACCACACTGCTGCAACAGGAACAGATTATGACTGACAGTCACAGTCATCTGGCCTTTAACAGCTGCTGCATTCAAGCCATGAGGGCAGTCTGGTTCTTCCTTGGAAAACAAACACACACACACAAAAAAAAAAAAAAAAAAAAAAAAAAAAATCAGATAAGAGCCAATTCTAATCAAACTCCTTACTGGCAGCTAACATACAGGAACACTTGATGGAGTATGCATTGACATCATATGTGCCATGGCCTTGAGTCTTCAGCTGTCATGTTCTTTCTTGCTCCCCAATGCAGCTGGGAGCATGCTTGTTTGCTGAATATGCGACCCCGGTGCCAACTTCCATAAAATTAAACTGGCTTTTATTCAAGGCTGCTGCTGTGAAATGAGAGCTTGAAATCTGCCTTCACAGTAATCTCTTAAAAGTGAGAACATTTTGCATGTTGGCGTTGTCAGAGCAGCTTCAGTTCCTTGAGAAAGTATTCAAACGTCTAAAACTTTTTCCACATTTGGCCACTGTACAACTACAAACTTCAAAAGATCTGATTTTGAATGTGTATGATAGACCAAACATAAATTAGGGTGTAATTAAGTAGAGGGGGGAAATGATAACTTATTGTATTTTGTTAATCCTCTAAAGTAGGTGTGGCATTCATTTGTATTCACCCATCGTTTAAACACATGAGAATACCTGCCACTCTAAACACAGTGAAAGGTGGCTGGACTTGGGGGGCTGAATAAAAATGCATGCTGCCCTTGTCAGATTTTTATTTGTGGAAAGAAATGTATAAGCCATATGCTTTACTATTCAGTCCACAATCATTTTAATTGGTCTGTCACATGAAATCCAAGTAAGATAAATTGGAAATTATGACTTAGTAATTAGAAAATGTAAAAAATAAATAAATAAATAAATAAATAAAAACAACTGAATGTATCCGTCAATCATAGCAAGGAAAGCCCCATAAAACCCCATATTCTGAACGAATGCACTCGCACATACTTAGAAATGAGACATGTATATATATATATATATATATATATCTCATCCTTTCCGTGTGTATCTTCTTCTTGTTCACTTTCTCTGTTGCATAATTGCCAGGTAGGTTATTGTGATGATTTGCACGTTGTGATTTTGCCCTTCCACACCCTCCCCCCATCTCATGCACAATTACGTGATGGGTGACGTTTCACCATGCGGAGGAGGGCTCTGGGCAGGGACCACTTGGACCAACGAGAACTGAACACTGTTTCATTTCAGTGCAGAAACAACGGCGTTCAACGCGAGTGGACCAGGGCGCCGCGCAGAAGCCCATTGTCTGCTTTAAACAGGGCAACTACGGGAAACGGCTTTGACCAAAACAGCGGTGTGGGAGGAGTGTCCGAATGGTAGGCACTGCGGGTTTGTAAAGACACAGGGGGGAAAAAAAAGAGGGGACGGGGGGGGGGGGCCCTGGACAAGATCTGGCCAATAACGGAAAATGAACCTCAGTCAAGTTGTGATAATATGAACCGCGTTTTGTTGCAGTTGGCGACCAACTATTGATGCTTCTGTGTTGATCGCTTTCCAGACCACCGCATCGCGCGAACTTCTTTTGTTCGCATCGCCTGAGTCCTAATTTCTAGCCTCCACATTTGTGTTGTCGCTGAAGAAGACTTAGCCGCTCCATTTAAAAAAAAAAAAAAAAAAAAAAAAAAAAAAAGAGAGAGAGAGAGAGAAAACAACCTATAATGAATTTCCAGTCGAGCGTCCCAGTGTCCGGTATCTCGCAGCAATCTCAGCCAGCCATGCCCACTCCAGGGACGGTCCCGGCGCCCGTTCCCGTCCCGGTACCCCAGTCCATCCCGTCCCAGTTCGGATCCGGATCGTCTGCGAGCTCAGGGGCCGGTCAGTTCGGTTCGGGGACTGTTTCGGGTCAGGCTGCACAGTCCGGCCCGGCCGGCTCGCAGTTTGTTTTGTCCAACTCAGCAGCCATCAGAGCGGAGATCCACCGGTTCGAGTCCGTCCACCCGAACATCTACGCCATCTACGACCTGATCGAGCGCATCGACGACCTGGCTCTGCAGAACCAAATCAGGGAGCATGTCATCTCTATTGAAGGTGAGTAATTTCATAACCATTTAGTGGTTTCATTCATTAAACGGAGGGGATGTTATTTAATTCAGGGATGGGGCTTATGGGGGGCATTTCCTGCCTTTTATTCCCACTTGGTAACAATGTCATAGGCACAGCCCTAATGTCAACAATCGCACTTGGAGGATGGGGGCGTAGCCAATCTCATGCTCCTTGTTCACGGATCGAACTGCACCCATGCACTGCAGTGTGAACAATAACAGAGCTCAGCTGCCTCACAGGAGGCACTGTGCAATCAGTCCTCTGAAAATGAGCTCTGCTGCCTAATGGGATTTGCTTTTGTTCTGACACTGACCTGTAATGAGAGGGAGATCTAGTTTGGCTAATAGAGGCAGATGCTGCCAAATATAAAAGCAGCATGTGTTTCCTGAAAGTGACACACAGGAAAAACCCTTTCAAAACAGTAGTAGAAGGGTAAAGAAAGACTGATTGACAGTAGGGATTCTATCTATCCATCCACCCATCCATCCATTCTTCCTTCCTTCCTTCCTTCCTTGCCATGTTTGTGTCTAAACTCTCGCTTGACAATTTCTAAACTTTAATTTGAATCGCCTTTCTATTAATTGAGGAGTATGCCTCTGTCACCGTAATGCTGAAAATGAAACTCCACATCGTCTTTATCTGTCTAGTGGACAATTGAAGGATTTGACTGGGGCTACATGATTTCTGGAACTTCTTAAAGGCAATAAATTGCAGTACTGGTATCGATTACAATCAAACCTCATTTCACTGACATTTTTCTTCCTTTACCACTACACATCGCCTTTACATCCTCCTTCACTTTTTGCATCTCAGCCACTGAAGAAAAACACTTGGTGTGAACATGTAGGGAAGTTGGAGCCTCTTCATCACCAAAGGTGTCATAGATACGAAGAACATGAATGCATGGCACTTGAGTTCCACCAAAAATTGCACCCTCACAATTTTTTGCAGCTGTAATAGTGTGATGACAAATGTGATTTGATTTCCCGTGCAGCACTAGTTTTGACTCACATTTGCTTGGTATTTGTCAACACTTATAGCTCCACCTGCATCAACACCTTAAGAAAAGTAACCTCATATCATGATGCTGCCTCCACCATTTGGTGCTACTTTCGGAGAGTCTCTAATTTTGCTTGGCAAGCATAACTTTTAGAAGACGGCCATCCAACTTTGGAGAGTGACAGCAATATGTCAGCTGCAGTTGATGCACTGCCACTTGTAAGCTTCTTAAATTATAGTAGCAGTTGTCCTTTTTTTGTCACCCTGCCTGTCATCCAGCTCTTTATCCAATAATTTCCTGTGAGCATGTTGTTAGTCGGAACTGGGCAACTATAGGTTTTAAAGAGTACTGCCACTCAAAATATTCATTTAAAATCAAAAGTGAGCAAAAATACACCAAAGTATCTGTAGTTCATTGGCATTGGAATACATTTTAAGCACAATACAATCTATGTATTTTTCAGCAGGTACATTTGGCATTTAGTTTTTGTTCTTCCAACAGCCATACATTAGAATAATGAATACACATACACCTCCATATCTACATAAGGTCAGTGAGTAAGCTGATGATGGTGTGTCAGCTTCTAGAAGAAGTTCCCCATTTCTCAGTGTGCTATTTCAACACTACCTGAAATAAATGTTGAAACCATATATTTTATATATACTGTATGCATGAAAAGATGACCGTTACCACAGTTATTTCTGTTTGCTAAATGCCAAAGCAATGAGTTTGAGAATTATTAGATATTTAATTTTTAACCTTCTTCAAACTTTGAAGATCAGATGACTTCTTTTTTTAGCTGTATTATCCGGATCAAGTGTTTTGGCCATCCCACCATGAGCTTCTCATCATAGTTTGTTGGAATCTTGGACCTTTTCTCCTAACAGAGGAGAAAATGTCCCATAATGGTGCCACCCTCATATTTCACAGTTGGAATGATATTCTTAGGCTTGTGAGCTTCCTCTATTTTCCTCCAAATATAATGAAGCTTGTCTTGGCCAAACACTTTTATTTTAGTTTCATCAGACCATTGGAAACGTCCCCAAAAGTGAAAGTATTTTTTCTCTGAGTGCATTTGGGAATAGGGCTGGATATTCCCATCCTCTTTATGCTTTCATACAAATGTTTGAACAGATGAACATCACTCTTTCCGGCATCTGGACATTGCATCAACAGACTCACAGTTTTTTTTCTTGATGCTTTGTCAAATTTTTTTTTCTGTAATGATGCTGAAGGAATCTGTGTGTTGAAGGTGTTGCCTTCAAATGAACGGGGATGTGTGCTTCCAATTAACTTAAATTTTGTAAATTATCCTGTCCAAAGCATACAAAGCTAAGGGATCAATATGAGTTTTCCAAAATTCTTTTGCATTGCATTGTAATCTAATTGCATGTAAACTCATGACTTTGAGGAATGTAAAAATAATAATAATAATATTTTTTTCTCTCATTATGCTGACATTTAGGAACCAGAAGCTCATTCCAAATTTGTGGTGCATAAAAACAGAAGGCTGCTTCACCATGTCGTGTTTTTACTTTTTGTTGTGATCCAGTCACTCAAACTGCACTTATTGAAACAAGGTCTCAGAGTGGAACTTTTCAGGAACATCCCCCGAGGAGGTGTGAAGTACTGTGCAGGTGTAAAAGCGCACATCCACAGAACACATGGCTGCTAGGGTTTGTTCCACACATGCACAGGCAGATGACAACAAAAATGACAGCGGATTGCATTGTGTTGTTGTGCTACCAGCCTTTAATTTAACCCCCTGATGCGTGAGTGACTGACTATACAGTCTTCCGTGAGTGGGTCCTTTTTGACCCGGGTTCAAATCATTGTGTTTTTATGCTACTTTTGTCATTTTGATTCAAAATAATGTTTTGTATAATACTTTCTACTGTGTTTTATTTCATACAAGAGTTATTTCATGTTTGAAATATTTTCATTTTTCACTTTTTTAAACGTTTTCAGAACAATTTGTAGAACATTTCTGACAATTTGTAGAACATTTTTAAAACAAAATGACAACAGCAGCAATTTTACAACAACAATGATGAAATCTCAATAATGGACAATGTTAACATCCATTATATGTGTGTGTGGGTGTGCAAAAGAGCACATTTCCTGAAACTAGCCAGCTAACCAGGCTAGCTAACATTGCTGTCTCTATTCTATTATGCTATGTGTATCACGTATGTGAGTGTGTGTATGTGTGTGATTTATCCATCCATCCATCCATCCATCCATCCATCCATCCATCCATNCCAAATTTTTTTTTTGGCTTTTTTAAAAAAAAAAAAAAAAAAAAAAAAAAAAAAGGTAGTGTGTTTTTGTTTTTTCATTTCTTGTTTCAAACAAAAAGACTAACTGCATGAATATACAAGGACCAAGATTGAAAAGGGCTTTTAATTTTCAGTACACTCACTTCAAAACAATACATTTTACAGCAGACAACCAAGCATCCAGGTAAAAAAAAGAAAACAATGCAGAACTAAGATGGTTTTTGAAAGCAGATAAAACTGAAAAGGGTACCACTCCACACTACTCCACAGCTGTCACATCCTATTGTCTACAGAGTGAGAGCTGAGGACTTTCTGTGTGGTAGCATCAAAGCTTCTTCCAAAGATCAGAGAACAGATTGTGAAAGAAACTGCAGGCGTTCTTCATGTGGGTCAACTCTGTGATGAACACTTGGGTTAGCATTTTGCTCAGGGCTGTCTTAGGTTGGCTCCTGCTGTCTCACTGTGCACAGATTTGGAGGACTAATCTGTGAAACATGTTGGAAGTTTATTTTATAATAAATTACAAATTGATATCTGTAACTAGTAAAAATTAGTTAAATTAATTTAATTTTCCAAGTAATTTATAAAGATATAGAAGATGAGATCCATCTCCCTATTCATTTTTAATGGAAGGGTTGAATTCAGTAGCCTTGGTGAAGTGGCTTTAGATACTGTTGGATCTGCTGTCCTGGAGGAAGGTGATTGAACTGACAGTAGCTGTGTTTAGGCCTGTCACAATAACAAATTTTGCTGGCCGATTAATTGTCCCAGAAATTGTTGTGATAATATTGTCATTTTCCCCAAACTGTTGCCTACATACCCACTTCTAAGTATAAGGAGCTTGTCGCTTCAATGCCTGAATAAGATGCAGACGTCTCCTCTGATGGCTGATTCAGTCTTGAGCACTAGTGTCAAGACTGAATTATGTAACCATTTTTAGCCGTTGCTGGCATGACTATTAGTAACTTATCACATATACAAGCTTATTTAATTTAAATTCTTATCTAATGGAAACACCACAACTGTGAAATTGTGTTTTTTGACACCAACAACATACACAAAGATTTGCACACATTTGTAATGGAAACACAGTTAGCATGGCAGGAGGAGTGTTCTTTTGGACACTCTCATGACCTGCATCATCTGGTATGATAAAATGAAAGTTTTTTATCTCATCATTCCTTATTCAAAGAGAACAAGGTATGGGAATAGCAGGTGTGGGATACACGGTGCAGACAAATTGCACAAATCGAGCCTTTGTTGTTTACATGGTTTCTATGAGCTGTGCTCTGGATGCATGCTGGAGTGGCAACATTTTATGGAAACTAAGATACAGGAAACCAAGAAGTCTACTATGCAAATGCACTCCAAGGTAGGTGTGTGTGTGTGTGTGTGTGCGTGCGTGCGTGTGTGTAAAACAATTCCAACAGCTAGTGTCAGTTCATACAGTGTGATCCAGATGTGTGATATTGACCCTTCTAAACTGGCAATTCGATACTACAGCATCAATATTGCTAATCCCAGAGGTCTGGGTGTTTGAGCAGAGGGAATGGATGGAGCCATTTGAAGTGGGTCACCTAAATGAGGCCATGCCTTATAACAGTGGTTCCCAAACTTTTTCTTCTGGGCCCCCCTAGTGGTTTCCAAACTATTTCTGCTCCTTAGGGGGCGCGCCCCACAGTTTGGGAACCTCTGCCTTATAAGGTGGGGGCACAAGAGAAACAGGTCAAGAATGCCAGCTGAAGTTTCTTCTCAAGATTACCCAACATAAAAAATTGTCTATTTACAAAAACATATCTGATTAAATCAGGGTTTATGGTGGCTGTGAATCAATGTTAAGTTTAATTGTTTGACAACTAGAAGTTTGTAAGTTATACTCTACTGTCCCCTCTGTTATTTGGCAAGACATTAAATGTGTACAAATTTGTGAATATCAGTGTATCCCCTCTTAAATGATGTGAACAGTGAAGCAAATCTGTTTATTTTGACTGTAGACTGCAAACATTTGGGTTTGAGATCAAAAATGAATACGAGACATCTTGACATTAATTGAAAACTGTGCTACACAGATGTTTAAGTTTGGAACATGAGCAGGGCATGTTTTTTTCTCTACATTTCAGAAAGGCTGAAATGTGGAGAAAGGCTAAAAAAAAAAACGGAAGTAGACATACTTCCATGTCTTCTTTAATCTCAGTTTTTTTGTTTTCTTTATTTTCGGCAATTAAAGTGTCATTCTCATTAATTATTATGGATTCTTCATTGTCTTTGTAACAGTTATGGGCTATGCAGCTAACTGCGGCTACAAGGGCAGTATCAGAAGATGGTTCTTTTAAGGAGCCTGAGGTGTGAATGAAGACAGGATTCAGTAGTTTTAGTTTTGGTGTATATATTAGTGATTTGAATAAAAAAATAATTACAAATGCATAATGAGAGACAAATTGACTCAAAATAAATCAATCCCAAGATCATAAAGTTCTTGTCCTTTTCTTTAGCTCGCCATCCTTAGATCCAGAAGAGGATCTAATCCATCAGGGAAAAACCCCCGACCTAAAAGGCCAGAAAACAATTAAGTATTTTATCAAAAAACAATCATCATGTACACACTCAAAGGAAATAAATATTAAATGCAAATGCAATTATTAAACTCCTAATAATTAAACTAAACATTTCAATCAGGTTAAATTAACCATAATTTAAATAAAGTAAAACAAAAAGAATATCAATCATATTTCAAACTAATCAATTTAAAGTTGAAAAGTTTAAATCAAAGTTGAAGTCAAAATTTAAATCAAAGTTTAAGTCAAGTGCACTTTCAAAATATCAATCAAGAAAAATAAATATACTGTGCAATATCAACTTAAGTGTATCTACATCCCAATTTGATCAATTTCATTTTAAACTCAATATCAATGCAAACTGTGCGCTGGAGGTGAGGTTTTAAATAAGTTGGCAGAGTTTGGGGCAACACAGGAAGTGGGCCCGCAAAAATAAAAGTCCTTGACTAATTGCAGGTTACATCTTCAATGAAAATTGCTTCTGAAATGGAATTTTATCTTTGTTCATAAAATTCCATTTCAAAGTTTGGAGACTTGTCTTCATTTTTTTCAATTCCATTACATGAGCAATTTGAATCTTCTAGTCATTATGTAGTTATGCTGCCTTGACATCCTGTCCTGTGGTGGTTGTTGCTGATATTGCGAACAGTTGTCACAGTGTTCAGTATTGCTTTTTTCTGTTTGTTTTATTGTCAAGTACTGGGTTATCTCTTAATAAACCTACCCGGCTTTGTGATAATCAGGGTTTTCAGTTTCAGAACAGGAGACATCTACTAGGTGACTCAATTCTGAGTCAAGTTACCCCTAAGTTAAGCATGAGTGTGAGTATAGAAGAAGCCTTCATCAGATAACGTGATTCACCATGGCAACAAGAGAAAAAAAGAAGTCGCATTTCTCACCAGTCAGTCAGTCTATAATCTTTTTTGTCATTACAGAAGCCATGTAATAAAAATCACATGGAATATAACAATGGAATTAGAAATTTGAAAGAAAATTTAATGAGAAGAATATCAAAGCATAATTAAAGCTGCAAACAGCCTCTAATGGCCCTTGCAACTCAGCGCCGCTCCGGCCTCATGACAAACGGAGGACCTGACGCATTGCCACCCGTTGCCATAGTCAAAACTCTCGCGCTGTTCCCTCATCCGACCACAAGGAGGCACATTTTCTCAGAGTGGGCGGCGCTTCAGTGATGGCATAAATTTACCACACTAATTTGTACAGCAATGCGCCCTGACACAACTGGTCTTAAAAACAGCAAATCAAAAATTACATTTAAAATTAATATCAATTATTTGCACTTCTGTTTAAATCCAAATTAAGTCAGCAGCTCCATCAGGCCCCCAAGGGCTTCAGGGGCCCCATAAATGTTAATATATAAAAATGAGATATACAGATATATAAATGTAACATTTATTTACTGAGAATATCAATGCTAACAAATTTCATTTAATTGTTTCAGGGTACATAAATTAGGAGTCTGGGGTCTAAACGGCCATTTTGGTCTAATTTTGAATTTATCCTTATATTTTCACCATAAAAAGTATTTACATTGCCTTATTTGGTATCATTATTTTCAGCACAACCTCAGATGTATAATTTTACAGTGTTTGTTTTATTTTGACAAAATGCATTATCACAGTAGACCAAAAATGACACTAAAAACAAAATCCGAGTAGAAAAAATATTGATATTTTTAATATAAAATTCACAAAAATATTGAACAAATCATTTTTCTAACCTATAATGATCATTTATAGTGTACATATTAAAAACTTATAAAAATGTTGCAAAAAACAAATTTAAATACATGTTTCATATTAAATTGTGTGCAATTTCCCAGGCATTTTATACAACTATTTAGAAAATGTGGCACAATGACTCCACCACAAATTCCTTCCAATATTAAAATGTTTCATGTGTGTTTTTTCTTACAACCATCTGCAAATTGGGATTCCCAATAGGTCTGCACACAAATCAGTCATGCCACTCATCATAACAGTTTCTGTCAAG